ACAAAGCAGACTCCTTAAGGCAAGGCACGGTGACAACATGAACAGTGATGTCACCAGGAGCCCAAGAGAGTCCCCAGACTGCCCCACTCACCTTGGTGTTGGCCACGTACATGCCCGTGGAGTTGAGGCGGTGCTTGATCTGCTGGGCATTGTACACCTGCAGCAGGTCATTGCCCCCGAACTCCACGTCTGTCAGCTGCTGGTTGTGCTCAAAGAAGTCAATGGGGAAGTTCACCTGGCTGGATGTGCGAGTTGCTGGAAGGGAAAGAGATATTTATGACAAAAGATGTTATGAACAGGCAAAGTTGTGGTAAAAAACCTGCAGAAACAACTTGCCTCCTCTGGAAAGTATTTCTGTATGCATCTATTGGATTTTTCACTACTCAAACTTATGAAGAAGAAGGTGAAAAAGAAGGGCTAGTGTCTGTCTTAAAACTTCTATCTTGTTTATATATATTACTGAATTTTAAAACTTTAAACTCTAAATTTTCTACTATATGAATAACACACTTTTACTTAAACTATGCACTAATAATCTTAATTTTATCATTTAATTTTGGAAGCTTTCTCTATGATTTCAGGTCAAATGTAGTGTTCTCTTGAGGGTCAGTGCCTATCAATGCAGAAAGCTGAAAATTCTCAGTAACCAGGGTTCCAACATCCATCTATGGAAACATTTTATCCACTTAGCCAGTACTTAAGTAATTGTCAGAATGAGTGTTGTAAGTATTTAGATGATGTAGATCAATCTTTGCATCTCCATTAGTGCCCTGGATTGCAAGATAAGTGTGTATTCTATTTGCCATCTGTTAGAGGTGGGGCAGTTATCTTCTGTCCATTGGGCAGTTTTCTTTATCTCTCCCACAACCAATCCTCCCTCCAGGAAATACCTGCTGCCCATGGCCACTGAGTGTCCCTGCAGGGCTGATCCAATCCCAGCATCCCATGGGGAGATGCTCCGCCCAGGGGAGGAGCCAAGCATTCCTACCTGGATCCAATCTGAGCTTTGGGACACCAGGGCAGCCTTTGCCCCCTGCATTGCCAGAGGATGACCAGACCCATCTAATGTAATGTAATGTAATGTAATGTAATGTAATGTAATGTAATGTAATCACTGAATCTTCAGAGGAAGACTCCACCCTTCTACAGGATCCCTGCTCCAGCAGAACCACCCCTGGCACTGCAGGAGGGCTGAGCCCCCATGGAATGGGACGGTGCCACCACCCTGACCCACAGGGTGTCAGGTCTTGTTCTGACTCTGTCAGTATTGTTTTGTATTACTGCATTGTTTATTTTATTATTTTTTATTTTATTCTCTCTAATAACTGTTATTCCTGCTCCCATATCTTTGCCTGAGAGCCCCTTAATTTCAAAATCATAATAACTCAGAAGGGGGAGGGCTTCACATGGGGTCAGATCCTGTTCTGACTCTGTCAGTGTTGTTTTATATTACTGCATTGTTTATTTTATTATTTTTTATTTTATTCTCTCTAATAACTGTTATTCCTGCTCCCATATCTTTGCCTGAGAGCCCCTTAATTTCAAAATCATAATAACTCAGAAGGGGGAGGGCTTCACATGGGGTCAGATCCTGTTCTGACTCTGTCAGTATTGTTTTGTATTATTGTATTGTTTATTTTATTATTTTTTATTTCCTTCCCTAATAAAGAACTGTTATTCCTGCTCCCATATCTTTGCCTGAGAGCAAATTTCAAAATTATAACAATTCAGAGTGGGAGGGGTTCACATTTTCCATTTCAGGGGAGGCTCCTGCCTTCCTCAGCACACACCTGTCTTTTCAACCCAAGACAGATTTTGGTGCCTTGATCCTGCTCTGTTACCAGGAGCTAACAGCTGGCAGGCAGAGCACACACTTATCCTGCAGTCAGGACAGGGAGTGACACAGGAGATGTGAGGAGCCCTTACTGATGGCGGCCGCCTTGCGCTTGCGCACGGGTTTCATGATGCTGATGACGCTGCTGGGCTGCAGGGAGGGCTGCAGCCAGTAGGACGTGTTCTCCACGTTGGCCATGTAGATCCTCAGGCTGCCATCCTCACACAGCAGGATCATGGTGGTCCTCTGCTGCTCGTTGCAGGCCGTGTGACGGATGGCCACCATGTCCTGGATCTGCAAGGCAAGGCAAGGCAAGGGCTTGGCAACTCTCCCTTGGAGGAACAAACTCTTTGTATTAGAAAAGCTGCCAAGACTGGAGATCTGGTTGATAGAACAACAAGACACCAAATTTTAAGAGTCAGAAATACAGGGAACCCTGACTAACCTTTGCTTTGGCTGGCAAGGTCTTGATCTCCTGGATGAGGAAGGTGTCTGGCTTCACCATCACCACCAGTGGGACACCCGTGGTCTGCTGGACACAGCACACCAGGCCAGGGTGGTTCATCACCTCAGACCACTGACACAGGGCTGGAGAAGTCTTACTGCCACCATTGGAACTGTAAGAGACAAAGGGCACGATGGCATTCATTTCAGGAGCAGCACAAGGAAAACCACACAAATTTCATTGTGCTCAAATCAGTTCAAGCTTTGTCCTGAGCAGGGCTCAAGCACTGCATCAGTGAACAGTGTCTGGTTTACAGGTGAGCAACCTGAAACAGTCACCACAGTGGGCAGAAACCACGAGCATCCCAGTCCTCAGCACTGATCCCTACCCTGCAAACTCAACGAAAAACTGGCTTAGAGTTGCATTTTATGCCACAAATCAAGGAGGCAATTTATAAATGGCTTTCAGCAATGTTTTTATCTGAATGGATGAACAGTTTCCTGTTTCAACACACCCAGCAGCAACAAGCAAAGATCAGTGCAGGAGAGTAAGTGTCTGCTCACTGCAAAAAGTGGAAACAGAGCTGCAAAAAGACTAAGCCAAACTCAACTGGAGTTCAGGAGCTCTTGGAACCTGACCTCCTTCAGAGCCCACTCGTGACAGTGGCTTTGTGCCAGGCCAGTGGAGAGTCTGTGGCCTGAGTGCCCAGCACTGCATAGCAGAACACACAATAGAACTGTTTTTTTCTTGCCACATTCATAGAGTAAGAGATTGGTTTCCCTCAAGGGAGTCTGAAAATCAGCCTTAACATGCACAATGCACAAGGTGCACTGCAGCAGTGGTGCTGAAAGGAAACAAAGGCTCCCTCCTCGGGATAATCCCATCGGTTCCAGCGCTGCACCTCGGGCAGCTCCACTGCTCTGCAGACACCTTTCTGCGCTGAAATCCTGCTGGCAGGACAAAATGCATGCATGGCCCACTGCTGAAACAGCCAGCTTTGGTTTCTAATTATCCTGCAACTGGGATATCATGGAATTCCTGACCCACAAGGATCATCCAAGTCCATTAGGACAAAAGGACCATGAAAAGTAGCAAGAAATCATCAGCCAGCAGGGAATTTTCACCACACAGTTTGGCCATTCAGAGCTGGGATGTTTAATAATAAGCAGTATTTATTATAAAAAGAAAGCAGTAAAAATGCAGGGAGTGTCCCCCAGGATCCTCACCTCTTGATGTTTATTGGGAAGAGGCGCTGCACCTCCAGGCTGGCCCGGCTGATGGTGGCTGCGAAGGATTTGCCTTGGCAGTAGCTGAAGAACAACATCTGCAGCACGTGGGAGTAATAGACTGACACCCCCCCTCCTGCCACCTGGCCATTGCTGTCCTGGGGGATGCAGAGAAATGCCAACATTTAACACAAACACAAATATCCCCACACACTCTGTCAGGCTTTCACATTTGCGATGGAATTATTCCCAAAGCCGCCCCTCCTCCCCAGCAGTGAGAGAACAGAGCCCTAAATGACAATTTTCTAAGCTGAACTCCTGGGTGAACTCATCCATCAGACACTTCAAAGGCTCTGGGAGGGGATGCTGAGCCTGCACACCCGGAGGCTGTAGGTAACACCCTGAGCTCCCGCAGCTGTGAGCCTCAGCTCTGTGTGACAGTGTCACATGGAGCATCCCCTGGATGCCCAGCTCATAAAAGACCTTCCTGAGAGCCTCCTCCTCATCTATTCCTGTTTTGAAGCAGGCTAGGGTAAAAACACTGGAGAGATTTTAAAGGTCATCCTCGAGAGAAGAAACAAAAGCTGACTGCAGCTCTCCAGCCCCAGCCATGGTGATTTATCCCTTCTGCTCCTGCACCTTTGGAGTGCCTTGCTCTGAGAACAGCACTGTTCTGAAGCCATCTCCCTGCTGAGAAATCCTGCTGGGCACGACTTCAGAGCCAGCCATGGAAAACATGCTCCATTTTCTAGATGAAAGGATCAAGGGGTTTAATTTTCACCCCCACCTCCTTTTACTGTAAGGATATTTCTCTCTTTAGAGGAATGAGAAAGCTCCTTGATCTAGATCAGGGGGCTTAAAAGGAGAAGGAAAAAAAGAAGGAAACTTCTGCCTCCAAATGGAAGGCGCAAAAAAAGAGAGAAAGGGAAGTCACCAGCACCTTCAGGTCCTCGTGGTTGACTTCCAGCACATTGGTGACATAGAAGGGCCCGTGCTGGGCACTGCTGGCCTCCTCCATGAGCTGTGTGTAGATGTAGCCAGCAGAGGACATGATCACAATGATGTTCTTCCCCTCCTCGTTGAACAGGAACGTGACATCCCTGATTTTGGAACTGGGCAGGAGGAAGTAGAAAGTTGGGCTCAAGGCGTCTACTGAGAGGTCATAAATCTGTGGGAAGAAGCAAGGAAATAATTAACCACAATGATTATCAAGGCAGTAATTAACTGCTATGATAGAAAACAGTGCAAATGAACAAGAGCTGAGATGAGGGAATCCCCATGACATGTTATAGTTTGGGGCTTTTTTTCCCTTTAAGTACTTTGGGTTTGCTTTTCCTGGCAAGAAATATCCCAAATTTATATTTCCAATTCATTTCTAAGAATAACACCACATTCTCCCACATGCAACTCCCTGAGGATCCAGACTCTGATGCCTGCCAGAAGCTGTATCATCAGCAGCTCATGGCCAGACATACCTTCACAAAGTCTGCAGTGACAATGGCCAGCTCTGTTTGGGATCCTGGCAGCCACACGGCTTTGATGATGAAATTCCCAGTGGCCAGTTGGGGATGAAGCACCAAATGATCAGAGACTGATCCAGAGCTGCTGAATGTTAACACATGGCAATCCTGGAGTAATGGAGAAAATTGGTTAAATATTAAAACAAAGTGTTCACAAATATTTAAGCCAAGAATGGAGTTAAAACTCAGCATTTCTCTTACAGCAAATAATGATTCAGAGAATTTAAATCTCAATTTCCTGCAGCGAAGATAAATAACATGAAGATTTGAAAAGAAAAAGCCACAGAGAGCTCAGCTTTTTCTCAGTTAAATAACACATCTGTAGATTCTGCACTGGGAAAACTGAATCTAAAATTGGGGAAATACAAAAAAGAGGAGTCCTTGCCAAAGAACACTAACTGTTACAGATTGGCTCTTGTCTTAAAACAAAATCAGCTTAAATACATGGGAGAGGATGAAATACTATTTTGGGGAAGAAATATTATTTTGAGGGGAAGAAATACTATTTTGAGGCACTGTCTCATTACTTATATTGTTCATTCAGGTCCTGCTTCTTTTACCTTATCTGTCTAGTAGGAACGTGGATCCAACGGGAGCTGAATTAGTGACAGAACTTTGGAGGCAGCTCCGTGCTAACTCCTCAGAGGAAACACACACAGCTGGCTTTCAGCTGATGTTTGCAGCTCCCTGGAACAGGGCTAGGCAGGCACTCACCTTCAGCCCACACACAGCCAGGTAATCCTCCTTGCAGGGATTGCCAGTCAGGCTCAGCACAGTGAACGGGACGGGCGCCGATGCCAGGCGGGTGAGGGTCAGCTTCCTTTTGCTGGAGTCAGCTTGTTTCAGCAGGGCTGAGAGCTGGAGCACTGTGATCTGCACCACAGAATGAGCTCAGTTACCTGACTGCAACTGGGGGGAGTCAGGCATTCCAGTTCCAGATCCCAGTTCCAGAACCAGAACCACAGACTGAACTTGGTTATCTGTCTGTAACTG